AATATGCTTGAGCACAGACTGTTTATGGTGCTTGTTCTGAGCTTCTGCTGGGTTTCCTCTTTGCCCCAAAAGGAAAATAGGTCCAGTACCCCTGCCTGCTTCCAGGTGGTAGTGCACCTTGAGGATGAGGCAGATGAGGTTGGTAAGCACATTGTGGATGTTGGCTTCAGGTAACATGATCCAAACAGGTCATTGATGCTGTTTTGGTATAGCACCTTGTAGAGAGGAAAGCAGATGTCATGTCACAGCTACTTAACTTAAGTAGCAAGATTTCTGAGATTCTCTGGATGAATGGTAGTAACTCCAAACTGGCACAAACAGCTGATGTGCAGTTTGCACATAGACTTGGAGACTTAGCAGAACAACAACAGATAGTAAGAAAGTCAGATAAGGAAGGCCCAGTAAAAACAAGGAACCAACCTTGTGCAATAAAGAGCAAACAGGTTTGTAGTATCTAATACGCCTGTGCTCCAGAGAAATGGAGTTTGTCATATGTCACAGAGGTGGCTACTTGGACCATGGTGGGCAGGAGAGGACCACTAAGGGGTATGGGAAGGCTGAGAAATCTATCAGGCTCCACTGGAAAATGCATACTTTACATGAAGTATTTCAAAGTGAGGAGCTTCAAAGATATATCTGGTTTTTTTGAGACCCATATTTTCATAGATGTTAGATGTTAGATGTTAGGGCTGGAAGGGACCTCAATAGATCATCGAGTCCGACCCCCTGGTCATCGAGTCCGACCCCCCTGAAGTGGTTCAGCTGTTTCTGAAGCTTTTTATCAGGCATGAACATCTGCACCCTTACTTTCTGAAATGTTTGAAAGGCACTTGGAGTGCTTCAAATATAGCATCTGTCCACAGCTCCAGAACTAGCCCAAATTAATCCCTGAGGGGGTCAGCCTCTCCAGGCTCATCTATTCCATGTTCAGCTGATTACAGTCCCAAGCCAAATTGTGCCCTCCAGGTCTGGTCAGTCTCAGGTGGCTAAGAGTTGTCCATTCCCACTGCTCTGCTTCTGAATGCACAGCTCCCACTCTCTGACTAGGCACTTTTGCCTTGGAACCCAGTGTCTCTACCCAGCCATAATGCAGAGCTACTGCTCTCTTGGGGACTCTCTATTCAGGGCACACTGAGATCCCTGCCCTCTCAGCACACAGTACAGATAGCCATCACCATCACAAATACACTTAACACTTGGCCAATGCCCAACACCACCACAATGCCTGAACAGCAGGATTCTGGGTCATCAGCACGGGAACGAGGCTGGACAGAGCTGGCTTTTCCTGTCCTCCCCAGCAGAGGAGCAGAGAGCCCTGCCCTCCTAAGCCTTCAGGTCATGGGGAACATAGGGCTCCACTGAGATCTGGCCCCATGTCCCTTAAGCATGCCTCCTCTCAGCCCACCAACATATACTTGGTTGGAGGAGCGATGCATGCATGCTGCTCAAGGCTGTGGCACCACAGAAGAGCAGAGCAGCATCTGTCATTTCCCCAGAAATGTTGCCTCATCTCTGCCCCATTCCTTCCCTTCCCCAGCTGGGAAATCCTTCACAACCAGCTAAAGACAAACAAAGCAGACAAAATTCCTTATCTGTATTGGTCAATGCTAGGGTCAGTCAGTAGTTTGTACAGAGAAGGGCACAGCTCCTCTCCCAGTATTCAGTAAGCAAAGCTAGAGCTTCCCCTTTACCTCTGTGCAAAGCTCTTCCCCCAGTAGACCATTCCAAGGGACTCTGGGGAGGGGAGAGTGGGGGCACAGGCTGGTTTCATATAGTGAATGGTGATTGTCTTCAGCACTTCCTTGGCAATGCCTCCAGCCCTTCCCCTCTACCCCACTTTTCCATTGCCCTCCTAGGGTGATATCATGGGCAGTTTTGTTGATATTACAAGCAGAGTTTTGTTGGAAGCTGGCTTTTTCCACTATACACGTGTTTTAGCCATTAGGATTTTTTTCTAAGAGCTTTTACTGATGATGAATTCAGGCTACTGCCCAGGAACCTCCTCCCCAACACCCCCTGTAAACCTACAGTCCCAGCTTCCAGGGTACATTCAAACCCCCTGTCCATCTCCCTGGGAGCTGCCCAAGGAAAGCGACCACCTCTCTCTGCTTTCAGACCCCACATGGGAAGGGCTTTCTCCTCAAATATTGGCTGCTGTAGTCTCACAAATTCGATAAAAATCATGGGTACAAGGGTTATTTTTCCAGTTCCTGTTCCCTTGTTGATTTATATCCATGTGGAAGACAGTGCATGTCTCATTGTCGAGGAAACTTGGTTCCTTAGGCCTCCAAAACCTGCAGAAGAGAAGCTCCAGGGTCATAAATGCAGTGCTAGGTGGCCCATGGGGGAAGGAGCCAGGGCAGGTGAGGAGCAAGAAACAGTGAGAATCATGGCCTATGAGTCACACATTCCCCCAACTCCCGCTGTGCTGCTTCCTGGTTTGGATTGGCAGCCTCTGATCATGTTGCCCCAACAGATACACTCTTTGCCTAACACTTCACTTCAGATGGGGACAAGGTTTCCCCCTCTCTCATTCACACACATGTAGATACCCACATACACCAATGGTTGGCAAACTTTAAAGGCGTTTAAGTTTGAGTCAGATGCAGGCTGGGAGGTAGGAGGCCAAGTGCTAAGATCCAGCTGCCACTGCTGTTTTTCTGCCCTCACCAGCATGAGGGAAGCAATTGCTGCTAAAGACCCTCAGCACTGACTGCTGTGGAAACCCCACATCTGCGAGCTGAATCAAAAAGCTCCATGGACTGGATTCAGCCCAGGGGCCATAGATTGCCAATTCTTGCATTACACCATACACTGTTGGATTAACATGGAATACACAAAGAGACAGTGTTGTGTCCCTACTCCCTGCCTCTTTTCTACTTCTCTCCCCCTCACACAGACACATGTGCATTACTCTGTTGGTAACAGGGCCCTTGCCAAAGAATACTCACGTTGTGGCCTGGTTATACGGGGTCTGATCCACCCAGTGCCATTGGCCTTCCACCTTCTGGGAACTGAGACCAATGTAGTAACTCCTCTCTTGCCTGCCTGTAATAGTTCCTTTTAACAAATTGAGCAGGAAATCCTTGATAGAGTCCTTGCTTTGTCTGTCTGTAACATCTTTTACCCAACTGAGCAGGAAATTCTGAATAAAAAACGAAAATGCAATCTCACCAGCTGCAAGTGCTGAGTGGACAGCAGGAGGCAGGGTCCCTGCAGGGTGAGAGTGGCAGTGATAGTGGAAAGGAAACAAACAGAATTCCCCACTCTGATGCCAGAGCCAGCCTGTATGTGGGGAGGTCCCACCCATAGCTAGCTCTGAACACCCCCCTCCCCTAAATCAGATACCTGCTCAGCCTCGGTGCTGATCACCACCAGGTGGGACCCCATTCCTGTGCAGTTTTTCTGGCTCTCACCCCAGGGTTTGGTGTCAGAGGACAAGTAGTAGCAGCTGGTATGGAAGGGCTTCCAGCCCACAGGGCAGCACATCCAGGCCTGTGCTGGGAGGGGAGAGAAAGTCAAGGAGCATGATGTACTCAGGAGTAAAGGTGAGAAACCCCTGCTGGTGCTGACTCTTTTCTACTCCCTGCTGAGGATGCAGGGTTGTTTCTTCAGTTTAGCTCATTTGACTCTGTCCTTCCCCAACTCTCAGTCTGTGTGCAGCCTAGCTTAAAATTTACACTGTTAGATGCTGGTCTTGAAGATGTTCAATAAGCTAAGAGCAGACTGATGCTCATTACCTAACACATTCTCACCACACACCGCTAAATCCTTGTCTAGACAAAGCCACCAGATTCAGTTAATGTGGTTCCACCTTTTTCCCTGGGCAGGTTGGTGTGCTGTCTAATGGGCCACAGTGTTGGGAAGCAGTTCTTCCTGTGCTTAAAGGACAGTGTTGCCTCTTCCCTACTCTTTGTCCTTCTGAACAGACCTCCTGGCCTCTCCGCACAAGTCCATCGCTAGAACCCCCATAGGTGTTTGCTATCAATCCAAAGCTGTGTGTGGATTGGGTCACAGCCATGGATGCTGATGCTGGGGTCAATCCCTGCCCCCTCACTCTCCTTAACACTGTCACTGACCTTTACTCTCCGGTGTCTCCAGGACACAGTGCCACTCAGTAGAGGTCTGGCACAGAATCTTGTGCTCTTCACAGCGCTGTCTAACGAGGAGAACTGGAAAAAGAAGAGGGAAAAAGAGAATGGGCACTATAGGACTGGACCCCAGGGACAGCCGTGACACCTCCTGGTGGCCATGTGGCTTCTGCCCCTCTCCCAGCCCCTGAGGGTACCCTCCACTTGCTACACTTGCTACAACAAAATAAGGGAACTCAAAATGTTTAGAAAGTTTCAACATGTTTCAAGTTTTGAAGCTGGGCTTGGCTTCAGCGCTGGTCCCAGCTGGCAGCATCAGCCTCCTGTCATCCCATGCAAATCCAGGGGGTGCGCCCCCCCGAGAGGATTGTGGCACAGCCCTCCCAGGGGGCCCCCAATCTGCACACCGGGTGACAGTATGCTGTTGCTGGCAGCTTGGGCCAGTAGCAGCATCAATCTTCCCGGCGCTGGGTGTGGGCTGCGCCCAGCACTGGTCCCAGCTGGCAGCAGCAGTCTCCAGTGATCCAGCGGGCAGATCGGAGGCCCCCTGCACTCTCGGGAGGAGTCTGGCAGAGCGCTGGGCGCACCCACACCCAGCACCAGAAAGATTGGTGTTGCTGCCTGTCCCAGGTGGCAGGAGCAGCCTGCTGTGATCCAGCAGGCAGACTGGGGGCCCCCCACAATCCTGGGAGGAGTTGGTAGAGCCCCACAGGCCTCATGGGGGATACGGGCCCTCGATCTGCCTGCCGGATCACAGGAGGCTGATCCTGCTGCCTGGGATGGTGCTGGGCCCAGTCCATACCCAGCGCCGGGAAGATTGGTGCTGTCACCCATCCCAGGCAGCAGGAGCAGCCTCCTGTGATCCAGCAGGCAGATTGGGGTTCCCCGCATCCCTGGGAGGAGTCAAGTATCTCCTTGAAACTTGGCAGACTTCATGCCCTCAGAAGGGGCTACCATCCCAGCAAGTTTAATCTAAAGCAGGTTAGAAATTACAAGTTATAGGCAGTTTTGTGCTTCCCCATTATAGCCTATGGGCAAAACATCAAAACAGAGTTGAAACAATGAAACAGTTTCAATTAAACGAAACGGAACAGTGCTTTCAAAATTAAATGAAACTTGAAACGAAACACTGTCCTGGTGAAACGTTGAAGTGGAAGTGGAACAGTGCTGTTTCACACAGCCCTAATGCAGAGCCAGGCTGCCCCCCCTTGTTTCTAGTGCTGGGCTTATGTTCCCTGGAGCACTGCCCTGTTAGTACAGGGGTTTCCCTGCTATTTAATAGGCAGCCTGCTCCTCCCTGCTGCAGCTCTCCACTGAGCTGCTTGTGGCTTCTACTCTCAGGCTGCCTGGACAGCCAGCTTCTGACAGCGCAGCTAGCTCCTGCTCAACTGCCTGCTGCACATTTTTCCTTAAAGTAACAGGATCCTCCAGCTCCCTGTTATAGGCACAGTGTTTCCTTCCTCCTTCCCTGTGTATAACCTGGGGTTGTCATCATCTTCTGCTCAGAACTATCCTGACGTGACCACTGTATTCTAGTCTATGCAAAAGCCAACAACAGACTTCTCTGGATGGAGAACTTGGCACCTACTTTAGCTCCCTTAATCCATTCACTGGCTATTGAGTCAGTTCTTTTGACTGACAGCATCCATCCAAGATACCCCAATCAACAAGACAACAGCAGCATGTGACAAACATGGGGAAAGGCAATGCAGCAGTGAACTGGCACACCCCAATAGCAGGGTTCTTCCTCTTCCCTTTATTTCCCTTCCCTCCCTCCTCTTGCCATGCTAGGTAGTGGCAGACATGTGGCCCTGCAGTGCAGGCTGTTCCCAGAATCCAAGCAGCCATAATTGAGATCCCAGGACTATAAGACTCACTCAACATGTGTGGGATTTTGGGTCATATCTGACTGTTGGGTGCTATCCACTAGAGTCTGGGTTTGGCACCTTCTGGACTCATGGTATCAACTTTCGCTCCACCACTTGGCCAGTGCCTGGGTGCAACAGTTTGGGGTTGAAATGGACTGATTGAAATAGGAGGAAACTGGCTAATTGAGGAGCAAGCAGATTGTCCTGTCACCTGCCCCATGTCTGGCTTTGGGCACAGTTCCTTCCTTGTTTTCTTTCCACCCAACTCCCCCCTCTCCCATCTGTTCCAGTCATGACTCTCCTTTCTTTATGTCGCTGCCTCCTCCCCTCTCCCATATGCAATTGCTGCTTGGCCAGCTCCACCCATTGGGTAAATGGGGTTAGAAAAATCAGAACAAAGTGGAGACCAAAAGGGTCCTGTCAAGTGGGCTCTTTCCCCTGGGAGAATGGTGACAGGGTTTTCACAGGTTCTGGTAAAAACCTAAATTGGTAAAACAATGACCCAGCTGGCTCTGATATGGGAGAGGATGTTTAAGGCTGGTATCACCAAAGAAGCTTGCCTTGGTTAGTTATGGACATGTGACAGCCACCCTTCTGTGGGCACTATTTATCTGTGTCACTGCAGGAGACATTGGGTCACTACATTTCCCTCTCACATTTCATTCTCTTCCCTTTTTCTTGTGGCATGCTCTGCCAAGCCCCATATCTTCTCAGTTCCCTTCTTTCTGTGGGTCTCTTCCCTCCTCTCCATCCGCTGTTTCCTCTCAAACTCTTCTCTTGCTTGGAGCTCATCCATTTCTCCCTCCTCTGCCTTCTCCAGCCCCTTGTTTCCACCCACTTCCTTCAAAACACAAGAAAAGAAACCCCAGTGATCACGTTACCTCCAGGCCTGGGTCTCCTCTCTGTGCTCATCTTTTCTGCCAGGAGCTTGCTCTCCCCTCCCTGCTCCCAAGTCTCCTATTGCAGAGCATACTGCCTGATCAGGGCTGGTGTCCCAAAGGACTGATGGCCCAGGCAGAGAGCCAGTGCCTGGAGCCAAACCAGGGGCATAGAGAGGAGAGGAAATTGCATCAATTCTTTTGTCATTTTGTTTCATACCGGATGCTTATTACCACAGAAAATAGACTACCAGAGTCTTGCCTAAGACCCTGCTTCAAAAAATATACACAGAAGCAGAAGGAAATGCAGAAGTGAAAGAGGAACATTCTCTACCTCCCAAATATTGTCATTTTAAGAAGAATCCCACAGCTTTGCAACAGGCAATGCCAGGCCCATCTCCGCTGGGGTTGGCCCTGATTTGTGGGGGCACAAGAAGGGAGAGTTCAATCTGTAAGCGGTAAAATGTACTTGGTATGAATGAGCCCAACTGATCCAGGATCCAGCCTCAGATAGAGCAGTAGGTGGTGGTTAGAGATTCTTTTCTGACGGGGCTGGAGGCACCTGTCTACTGACCTGGCCTTTCTTCCCAGATTAAATATTGCCTCCCTGGAGCCACCCCACACAGGTTCCCATGGCTTATCCAATCCTATGGGTAGTCTTACCCTATGCTACTCATCTCTGTGGGCATTAGGAATACTGCCAGATCTGACCTGGGCAGACTAAAAAGGACCACAGAACCCTGGGGTGAGGAAGAAGCAGTTGCAGGTTTTCTCCCCTGTCTTCCTGGTTAAACATAAACGATCAGGAAGGTTTCTTGAATCATAAAGCTACCAGGCTGGAAGAGACCTGAAGCAATCATCTAGGTCAGTCCCCTCTACAAAGCAGGATCATCCCTGTCTGAACCATCTTAGACAAGTGCTCATCTAACCTGCCCTTAAAAAAACTTCCAAGGATGGAGATTCCACAGCCTCTCTAGGTAGCCAGATCTAATGCTTAACTACTCTCATCCCAAGCTCATCCTAATATCCAATCCAAATTTCCCCTGCTGAAAACTTCCCTTGTTATTTGAAGACAGCTATGAAACCCCTCCTCGGTCTTGTCTTCTCCAGACCATACAATCCCAGTTCTTCTGATCTTTTTGTGTAAGTCATGAACACCTCTGGATATAGATGAAAGGCACAATTTACACAAGTGATGCCTGGGCAGGGTCTACTACAGACCGCTAATCAGTGGGTGGAGGTTGATGATTCTTACTTTGAATTGACAGAAGCCTCCAAAGGACAAGGCCAGAGGGCAATGGGGGACTTGAATTACCTAGGTGCCTGTGGGAAAGCAATACAGCAGCTCATAGACAACATATTGGTGCCTGGAATGGGCTCCACACAGGGTTACCAACTCTCTTCGAATCTATTCCGGGAGATTTCATCACATGACATAATGACATTAATGACTTTACACCAGGAAGGCAAACACACATTACTATTAAATTTTAAAAACCCACTGGACTACTATATAAATAAGATTCAACACTTAATATTTATTTTAATGAATGCCCTACTATTTATCTCCCAGGTGACTCTCAGCAGTCTTCTGGAGATTTATATCTAATTCCTAGAGACTCCAGGGCAATTCTGGAGGGTTGGCAACCCTATCTCCACAGATCACAAAACAGGACCAGGAACTTATGAATTAACAAGGCCCAGAACCTTCAAGGACCTTTTTATGGGCAACAGCCAGGGCACGGTCTCTGCTGGCACTAGGAAGGGCTGCTGTGCAGCCAGGGACCAGCATGTGCACACCCCCCTCCCCGCCCCTCACAGGTTCTTCTGTAAGTCCCACATCAAGCACCGGGACCTCATTCAACCCCTACTCCAGGGACCCAACCCCTTTCTGGCCCTACCATGACCTGTAAGCAGCACAAGAGAGGGAACAGGTTGTGGATCAATGGGACTAGGATAGCTCTGGCACACACCAGGACCAAACTGTCCCCTTTTACCCTTCATAGTGCAGACAGAAAAGGACTGCAGGGGAGAGGAAGAGAAGGGCAATGTAGTCAGAGGGCAGCGCTGTCTCTAGTCTAGCACTGCTACATTCTTCTCTTGCTCATTAAGTTTTACTCTGTGTGTTGGTTTCTTTGGTGTCATTTGCTTCTTGCTCTAGAGTTACAGATGTGTCAATGCCTTGCTGGTGATGGGCAGATCTGAACATTTCATGACGTTTTGTCTAATGATTAAGGAAATGTTGCTGTTCATCTAAAAACCATGCATCAAGAACCCCAGCTCTGCCACATGATTGTACTAGAATATAAGAAAAGAGATGGCCACTGGCCCCCACCACAGCAAGGAGAAAATGTTATATTTAAAAAGGTACTTAATAATGCAAGAAGTAGCAGCAGAAGAGGAGGAGGAAGAAGAAGATGGAAGTCTATTAAATTAATCAGGAACAAAATATTCTGATTAGCAGCCCCCTCTCCAAAAATGTTTATCTCAGTAAGTGCAACAGGTAATTGAAAGCCTTGTAAACGCACAAGAAAACCTATTCCAGGGTGTCTCACAACCCACAGAATACCACATGCAATGGCTAGCAATATCACACCAAAATCACCACGGATGAAGATACCTCAGAGTCAGCGTTGGATTATGACATGCTAAGGCCCTAAACTATGTCCAGTTTAAGAGGCCCCATATGATAAAAAATAATCCAATGTATGTATATTTTTGTCATATTAGAATGAAAATGTCCATATTTAGAGAGTCATTTTCCCATATCTCCTTTATTTACCAACTAATTATTATAAAACTTGATATTGAGTCAGTTTTTTTTTTTATTTAGAGGCCCCTTATATTGTGAGGCCCTAAGATGTAGCTTAAGTAGCTCAAGCCTAAATCTGGCACTGCTCAGAGTCCAAATCTCTCTCCCCTCCCATGACCCAGGGCCTGTATCATGACATGAGTGGAGGCTCTTCCTGGTTGTAGGGATCGCTAGTGTGTCTTTGTCTATGTTCCATACCAGGTGAGAATACCTCTAGCTTTGCAAGTGTGTTCAAGATGCACACCCCAATCCTATGTCTACTGTTTTAAAAATCTGCTTGGAAACCAACATGATGAGGAAGTCCACCTGGTTAACATATTCACTAGCCCCTATAGGGGACAAACTCTTTGCCATCCTGACCCCATTGCTGGTGGGAAATCCCATTCTCTAAAACCCAACTGTCCTTCCAGGGAGGTACTTAATGTCAACAGTCTGTAGGCAAACAGCTTGCAGAGTAGCATTGCAAATTTCCACTCCCATCAGCCAAATGCTTGGCCCATCACACAAGTTAACCATGTTTCAGTCTGGGATGGACAATTTCTACAGAGCAATAATAACCCACTCCTGCACCAGCCTAGGCTGCTTCAGTCATGTCCTATAGCTCCAATGGCTTGGCCAAGCTCCTTACACAGGACTAAGAAGTGAGTGCTCCTGCATGTGGATGTTCAGTAATTCATGTTGGTCCTGCCAGGGGGCCAGCAAGGAAAGACAAGTTGTCGCATAATGCATTGCAGAGCTAGAGGGGTTCCAGTCTGGAGGGGGCTAAAAAGCCTGGAACATGCCTCCACAGATCTGCATATTCAGAAAGGTGGTGAAATCACAACCCCTTGGGGAATAACACTAGATACTGCTCTAGGGCATATAGATTGAAGAACTCAATAGACAAGTCTGAGGTCCAGACCTTGAGTCCTGCATCCTGCATCTGGAAGCTGCATCTCACAGTGATATCCCACAATTGCAAGGCCATGTGGACAGAAAGATAACCTCTCCTGTTTACAGCCCAGGAGGATGCTCCCACTGAGGAAAGGCATTTGTTACACTTGGTAGCATGATATGATAACATATCAGACAGCAATTTCCCCCCACCCTTCACAGAGGTAAATACCCTGCTCTGTCCTTCCAATTTCCACCAAATCACTTGAATCCTGAGAAGCTTTGGTGACAGTGAGATAGATCCCCATGTCTGTTTGTGCTGCTCCCTGAAATGGATTGGCAGCCTCTGATCATATTCCCCAGCAGATCTGTTCTTCACATGTTCAGAAGCATTCTAGTATAAAAGGGGCCAGTGCACTCTACACCCACTTTCTCCCTTATTCCCTTTCCCCTACCCTGGCACATACATATGTGTGTTATTCTGTATATTGCACTTAAGGGGTAGAGGTAACAAGTGTAGCTTGCAAAAGACACTCACATAGTAGTCTGGGTTTCCAGGATCCGATCCACCCAGTGCCACTGGCCTTCCACCATCCCAGGAACTCAGACCAACATAGTAACCCATTCCTTGCCCATCTGCACCTGTTCATTTTACTCCCTTGAGCAGGAAATCCTGGATAAAATTCCAAAATCCAATCTCACCAGCTTGCAAGGGCCTCTGTGAGTTCTTCTTGCTTTCACTCCCAGGACTAGTGTCAGGGGGATGTGTAGTGGCAGCTGAGACTTTCTCTGGGGCTTTTTTGGTCACTGCTTCACCTTGCGCTGATGTTTTAGAGAACTATCTACAATGACTTCAAGTTGTCTTTCCTGGGTCATAACAGCTAGTTCAGAGTCCAGCATTGTGTGCATAGACTTGAGGTTATTTTTCCCCATGTGCATTACTTTTTCACCCAATCATTTAGCTTGAGTGTAAGAGATGTGTACCTTTCCAGTCTCCCAACACAATGCTCTGACCATCATGGAACAGCTTAGGCATCATCCTGTTCTTTCTCCAGCTCTCCTTTGAAATTGGCCCTTATACCTCCATGAGGGGAAGATGAGTGGGACTACAAGGAAGAGAATAAGTTGGAGCACAGGTGTCAAAGATATGGTCCATGGGCTGTATCTGACCCGCAGAGCCCTATAATCTGGTCTGTGGTGCTGCCCATGGGTCTTGGACTGCACACACCACACGCAGCACCCACAGGGCCAGTCTGGCATGCAGTTTGCAAAGCTGGCGCGCACTGCACACAGCTGTGGGGCCAGTTTGGGTTACATGCTGCATATGGCATCTGCTCCAAACTGGCCATGCATGCTGGATCTAGAATACTATTTGTGACTGTGCCACCTTGTGAGGTCCCTTCCAGTCCAACTTTCCTATGTTCCTAAGCCCAGAAAATTTGTTTATTTACTTTTGGCTTTTGCACGGGGCCACATGCAAGTGGGGAAAATGGAGCGCAATGAAAATGAAATGAAAACAAACCCAGCATGTGAAGGCCTACTCCCAAAGCAACCCTCAAATTAAACCTTCTGGGCTCAGCCCCTCCAGACTCACATGATCTGTATTCAGCTGACACTGGTCCAGGGCTAAATCACCCCCTCCAAGGAGCCCTAGATCAGATCTGGTCAGTGCCAAAGCAGTTGAGGGGTATCCAGGGGTGGTTCCTTCTCACTGCTCTGCTTCAGTCCTGAGAACCGTGTTCTTCCAGGCCACACCGAGATGGGCAGTGACCAGGGGCAAGTCAGGGACTACACAGGGTGTGCCAGGATGGACCATGCTGCTTGACTCTGCCAGCACCACTGCCAGCACTGTTGGTGCATGTGGACAAGTCAGTGCTGCTCCATCACATGGCTAGACGTCAGCCCCTCCACGGAGCCAGCTGTGCCCTGTGCCATTGGCCACCCAGCTAATTCTTCCTAGGCACCCGCCAGCCCTTCAGAGGTACCACAGACCAGGCCAATCCCTTCCTTGCAGTCTGTCCCTGTCCATGAGTCAGCTCAGTGCCATCACTCCTGCCAGTCCAGCTGGGCTGGCTGGGGAGCTGGCCCTGTTGTGCTGATCTGGACAAGTCATGCTGTGGAACAATGTCCATAGCTCATTTCCACAGAGCACAGGATGAGATCCCCACACTAGGGAGCCAGAAGCAAGCCAGCCCAGGGCCAGGACTCCTGTCCCTGAGAATAGAGTCCCTGCCCTCAGGCATAATTCAGAGCGTGTGCCCTCCACCTTCTACCCAAGGCATATGGAGAACAGTTCTCCTACACTCACAGCACACAGTGTACACAGCAGTCATTTCAAATACCATATGTACTCATGGACCACATACACCTTTCCTCAAAAAAATTGCCCACCAAAATTGGGGTGCATGCCTCAAGCTTCCAGCTCCCCCTGTACATTTCTTCCCCCACCCACTTTTGCCCCATAGAAATAACACACGCTCCAGGTTTTCTTTTCCCAGATCCTTAGTCTGTTTCCTCAGATGACAGACTCTTGCCCAAAGTCAGAGTAGCAGCCACAACTCCAGTAGCTGGCAGGAAGCACACACATGGGTAGGTGTGCTATCAATAGGCTTGGCAAGATTCAATTTTTATTGATAAACATTGATAAAGGGTGATTTCATCTCATACTCACAGACCAACAAAAAATATGGCCATTGGTAATAATTAAAATTTATAGAAAGAGGACTTTTACCCCCGTTACAGGAGCGTGGAGAAAGAGAGGGACAGAGGGGATAAAAATGAAAGCGTAATGATTCCTCCTGCACCTTCACAGATTGGGGAAAGTGCAGGAGGGAGATAACAGGCTACTTAAACCCTTACCCAAAGCTGGTGGGGGAGGATGAGAGAAGAGTATTGGGTCCTGCTCAGACCTGGGCAGGTAAGTGCAGGGGGTGGGCAAGGGTGGCCTTCACCACTCCCTGTGTTTCCAAAGCTCTGGAAGTGCCACGGCCCTCCTCTTCCGGTCCCTGCCTGCCTGGTTCTTTCCTGATGAAGAACCAGAATTATTTAAAGCAAGTATGGATTTATTGATTTATGGATATTAGGTTTTTATATTTTGACATGGTTTTTATAAAGCTTTTAACAGTATACCATCATTACTAAATTGTCTGCCCCCATGTCCCTAATTTTGCCCAATCCTGAAAACTTGTCAATAAAAATTGAAATAAATGTTTAAAAATAAAGTGATTTTAGCTGTCAAAATTATTAAAAAATAAAAATCAAATTCTGCCAAGCCTAGGTCTCAGTGAAGTATCTTAACTGTATGACCTTGATGCCATAGTAGAAGAGATGCAACCCCAGTAAAAAAGCATCTGCGGAGGAGACAACTGCAGGGAAATGTATTCTCCAAGCTAGCTAGCAGGAACACAGGGCTCAGTGCTGAAGACTCTACCATCAGGCTTTGCCAACCTGTTTGGTGGGAAGAGAGAAGAGGTTCCTGGAAATTACCATTGATGCAGGAAACGGAGAACACTGAGGAGTTTTTTTTCTGTTGCTGTTACCAGCTTCTTCTAGAACCCAAAAGCAATGATTCCCAAAGCAAACAGCCCTAGAGTAAAAGAGAGCACATGGAGCATGTAGACAGCTGTGGGACTGCAAGGTGGGATGTAAGACATGGTGGAAGCACCACTGCCTGGAACAGGCACAGCTGAAAGGGAATAGAGGTCTTTTCAGCCCAATGCAGCTGATGAGTGAATAGTTGCCACCTTAATCCTGCTCATCACTGAGCTGGGGAGAAGGTGACTGGCAGTGGAAGGAGGCTGCATAAAAACTAAATGGTTTCAAAGCACACAGGTGGCCAGCGACTGACCATGAAATATACACAATGCCATTGCCTGAGACTAAATCCCCACCACAAACTCCAAATCTCAGTGAGAATGGGGTCCTTGGAAGCTTCTTTTAGTCTCCAAAAGGAAGCAGAAACAGCTCTCATGAAATTAATCCGTTGTTCACACATTGTGGACTTGGGCTCCAGAACATAGGCAGGTGGTTCTTGCAGGGGATATAAGCAGCAGTCATGCGGCAAGACAGGCTCTAGCAAGCCTCTACAAAGCAGCTACAGGCTATACACTGGAAGGCAGTGCCTGCCAGCTGGAACTGGTACAGCCTTGTGTGCAGTACTGCTTCAGGTAAGTCCTAGCTCTGCTTTGGGGCAGGGGTGGTCAGTGTGGGAGCAGGGTTGTGCGAATACGGCTATGCTGCTGCTTGTTTTGGAGCCAGGGTGTGAAGAGCTGGCCTTGGTTTCTTCACTGGGTGACAGCTCCCTTAGGTCCTTGCTCCAGTTAAGGCAACTAAGATTTAACATGTCACATCCCAGTGCAGTTGTTACAGCAGAGCATGTCATTGCACTGAGGGCCACAAGGAGGAGGTTAGAGAGCAACTTTATTCAATACACCAGCATAAAACACAGCAGACACGATTAGAAGAGAGGAAAGCAGTACCGAAAGCCCAGCATTCACATTAATTACAGAATTCCTTGGGAGCAACCCAAGACAGGCCAGTCAGGGAGTTGTGGCTGTGTGGTTAAGGCATGAGGCTGAAATGCTTGGTAGGGTCTCCTGACAGGTCAAGTCCTGCTGGATGGGGTACTCCTTATTTGAACCGGTTCAGAACATCACCAAGAGCAGCTGTGGAATCCCTGTCACTGGGTGTCTCTAAGAGGAGGTTTGACAAACTCTTGACAGCACAGGCTTAGACAGGGGTGACCCTGCCTGGAGCAGGGGGTTGAACTACAGACCTCCAGAGGGTCCTTCCAGCTCTAGCAATCCATTAGACCATGAGCGACATCCTGGTGCCTGCTCTCCTCCACAGCATGGTGCTGGGAGGTTTAGCAAGTGGAGTTGCTTTGAGGTTTGCTTAATCTGAATATTTGCAACGGTCTACCTTTGCCACTTCCACACCCCACTGACTGCATGGTTTCTATATTTCAAAGGTTAATTATCCATTTACTTCAGTTCTTCATTTTTGTCACTTGGTTGCTATGGCATCACTGCATGTCATACTTAGAATCATCAGTTGCACATTTTTCCTCAAAAACATCTATGACCCAGGTCTGCAGTTTCTTGTACCCCTGCAATCACCTGACTGGCTGCTGCTGTTTCTCACTTATACTTCCATCCTGTGATCCAACATCACTTATCATTTGCCTACTTCCAGCTGCACTTAGGGTTTTCCACTTATGCAAAGCCCACTGGGTTCTTGTAACTGCTGGTTCACTGCCAGCCTTATGACAAAAGGCTTCATTCTCACATGTGCTATAAACTGTGTAGACTCTAGTGAGTGAGTATACATGCTCACACAGTTTGTGGAAAATCCACAGAGCGCTGCATCCTGCAATGCAGACAGACACTAAATACCTGCCAACAAAGCTCTCAAGGCTATATACGTCTTTTAAGAGGGAGGATTTTCTTGGGCCTCTTTAGGGTCACATTTCCAAAGGCATAGCGTTCTTCATTATCAAAAGGGAGAGTTCTTGGGCAGAGAGTCCAGTTGGACTCACCAGGTGCCCAATGGTAAATACTATTACAAGGGTTAAATATGTCATCTTCTCCTTCACCTCCCAACACATAGATCCTACCCTGCCACTGAACACCACCAGGGTTGGCAACATCGATCGGGAACTTTGGAATTCGGTTGAGGCACACGTTGCAGTCCTCGGTGAGGAAAACACACTTGTTTTCATCACAAAAAGCTTCACGGCTCCAGAAATCTTTTGTTTGCATACCAACAAGGTATATCCCATTATCCATTGTGATAGCAGTCATGCTCCAGAGCTCAGTACCTACAACCCTTTCTGTCCATCTATTCAAATTAGTATCATAGATCAGAAACCCCTGAGACGAAACACGACCAGAATACCCATAACCCTGTTCACCTATTAGGTATAATTTGGCCTTGAGTACCGCAGAGGCAACCCTGACCAGATGAAATGGCATGTCAGCAATCAGAGACCATGAATTTTGCACCAAGTCAAAGCACTCCCCAGAAACATCAAGTGACATTGACGGATGGCCTCCCACGGCATAGAGCTTCTGGTTACATGCAAGAAAGGTATGGCCTGAACGGCATTTAGACATGGAAGGGAGCTGCGTCCACTTACCAGTAAAAACACTGTACTCATACAGAGTGTCTGAACAAGACAAACCGTTTAAGGGTCCAGATGTGTAGCCTCCAGATACATAGAGCTTATGTTCTACAGCTGTACAGTGTGAAGAACTCACATATTTTAAAGGTGGCAGACTATCAAATGTTTCTGTTTTAGGGTCAAAACATATAATGTTGGTACTACATACTGAGCGTGGAACACAGTCATCATCCCATGTCCCTGTTGTCATGCAGACAATGCACTCTTCATACATGCCTTGCCTGGGTCCCCCATTTACCCACTGCCCATCTTCCCCTTTCAGCTGCCTCTTGGGGATCTCAACATCTGCACAATGGGCAACCTCAGCCAACTCTGCATCACTCATAAGGTGAAAGCGGACATGTCCCATCAGCTTGTCCTGTTGTGGAAGACGCTGGGCAGGCTGAAATTTCACCCAGCGCTGCACAGCCTGGCAGACAACTAGTTCTGAAGCAACTGTCAGGTTGTCTGAGGAGATGATACGGCTCAAAATGTTGGCATCCAAATGCAGAAAGTCTTCCTCCTCAGAGAGGCGTTCAAACTCCTGCATGATATAGTGTGTGGCTACAAAAAGCAGAGCCTGGTGGTTGTGGATGTCAGCCAATGCACAAAGCCTGAAGCAGTTCTCTGTGGAAATATTCTCTTGAAGGAACCTGACAGGAACAGAACAGAACAATAAACACCAGGAAAGGCATGCTGGAAAGTGCATTTAAACATCAAATACTAGTCTTAAACCAATTCAGCTACTAGGGCACAGGATGAGATCTTTATAGGAGTGTGCAGCTTTCTGCACTTTGAATCTTATAGTATTGGTCAATGTCAGAGCTAAAATACTGGATGAGATGGAGCTCAGGTCTGACTGAATGAGGTAACTGCTGTGTTCCTATAGATAAAAAGATTGACAATGACCTCACAAGGTCATGAGTAAGCTAACAAGGATGGTAAACACTGAAGGTGCAGCCTGCAATTATAGAAAATATTAGAGAAAGGAGGGACAAACGGGACCAAAAACCGGTGACTGAAGAGCTTCATACAAGTAATGCACAGGCTCAGGAGTGCTCAGTTGAGTGGCATCTAAAACAGAGGTTCTCAACCTTTTTTGTACCAGGACCCATTTGTAAACATCTATGGCCAGGACCAACCCAGTAAATACTTCAAGTAGATAACAGTCCCCTGGCCCTGTCAGTGCCCCTCACTCCTGACCCACAGCCCCACCAGAGCCCCTCATTCCCAATCCACAGCCCCACATCCTCCCAGCCCTGTTGGTGCCCCTTACTCCTGATCTGCTGCCACCCCCTGCCCCCAGCCCCCCAGTGTGTGGGACAGGGGAAGGTGTGGGGCATGGCGGAGACCATGTCCCCCCCAGGTTTGTGCTCCCATAGTGGGCACGGGGCTGCAGCTGGTGGGTCCCAGTGAGGAGGACTGGAGTGGGGTAGCAAGACTGATTGCTGCTGCCGCCGCCGCCATAAACCTTGCAACAGCTGTAGCGCCAGCAGTGCAAGGAGTTATGGATGTGGTGGGGGCAGCATGCTGCCCTCAACTCCTCCTGCCATCAGCTGCTGGGCCACGGCTCTAGCCCACCATCAAGGCCCAGTTGCTGCTACCACCACTCCCCTTAGGCCACCTGTACTGCCTTTCACCCCACCTCCCTTCCAGGGTAAAACCACAGCCTGAGAGGAGTGATGATGGCAGCAACAAGGCCATGGCAGTGTTGTAGAGCTGTGGCCTGGCATGCAAGTGGCTGGCAGCAGGAGGAGGTGAGAGCAGTGACACACCCCTCCCTGTTACTCCTTGTGCTGCTGGAGCCGCAGCTGGTCTGGGGTTTACAGTGGCAACAGCAGCAGCAGCAACAAGTCTAATTGCTCTCCCGCACTGGGACCCACCTGCTGGGCTGTACAGGAGGCTCCTGCCCGTGCTGGTCTGGCCAGGCTGCAGCCCCATGTCCACTATGCGTGCACAAATCTGGGGGAGCACGTGCCCCACCTTCCCTCCACCCCCCAACATGTCACTTGTGCCACCCCCAAAGCGTTGTTTATACCCCCTCTCCCACCCTGGCTGCTATGTGCATGTATGCATGCATAGATGCATGTGGTGCCCCGTCTGATCACGCTCCTCCCACTCCCCCCAGCCCCAAGCAGCCCCTTGCAGGCTAGAACTCTGCCAAACTGCAAGGAGAAACCCATGCTTTTCCACATTTTTCTTTTAATGGTCGTGACCCTTTCAAATATTCTTGCAATCCACTTTTGGGTCGCAATACATAGGATGAGAAATGCTGATCTAAAGTAGCCACCCAGCAGTGAGCCCCATCAGTTGACCAAGTGGTAAGCAACTGATTCAGGTTAATAAAACCATTGAGCCCACATGGGCTCAGTAGCCAGTAGGCAAGAAAGGCTCAGCTGTGTATCAGAGGCTTTATACTGTTCACCACCTACAAAGATTCTCCTTTAGCTCATGTGGTTGGGGTTTGGTGTTTCTAGAACAGGAGGGTTCAAATCCTAACCCCATGACCACTGTGTGATTCCAAATAGCCTTTGGGTGAGTCAGAGACTCCCATGAAATGCCTAGTAAAGCCTATACCTTTTACTATGTTTTGAGGAGCAACAGAGCTATGTATTTATAGGTCCCTTTATGAGGCTGAACTGCTTGGGTCTCCTTTTTAACTTATCACCAGAGATGTCAGAGATACAAACAGTCCCAGGGTAAGACAAGCTTGCCCTTCTGTGCTACCTGCTCACTGTCTCCTCCAGTGGGTGGATCTGCAGCCAGCTGGCTGCTACAAACAGGTCCTCAGCAGTCTCTGAAGAAAGTGATATCTCCCCAGTGTAGAGGTAGTTCAACACACTCTCAAGGGTGGAGGGTGCCATACTCTGTAGCACAATCTCCCCATCCCGAGACTCTCTGAAGTTGCTGGTGAACATGGACCGGAAATACAGGCTGACAGAGGCCAACAGCATCCTGCAGGGAAACAGGACATGATGTTGACAGGCCACAACTCTCACCATCGTGGAGTGCTAGGCTTGCTCAGGACATGGATGGGAGGCTGATGAGAACAAAGAAGGTTGCTGCACAATATGGTGACTGTGAGGCATCAGGGAACTCTCTTCCCTCTGATCCAGTGCTGACCCTCTCCCCTGAGCAGTGTCAGGCAGTGTGAGGCTGCAGGGTCCATCTTACAGACATTTTCAGGATATGACCTTAGCTGCTTATGGCAAGTGACTTCATGAAATTCTCCTGAGAAGAAGAGGGCCACATCTTCAATGCCCATGAAGAAAAATTAGCTCAGCTTCCCCTCCCCAGGGACAGATCTGAGCCAAGCATGCTGCTGCTGAACAGACAGAGAGGGATGGAATCATCAAGCTTGTCTTCAGTTCCTTGAGCCCTGGGGGAATTCCCACTCCAACCTCAACTCTGATCTTACTACTTTTCCTCTTTGTCCTCCTCCCCACTGCATCTTCTCTGCAGCCTAGAGCCCAGTTATCTGCTTGGAAGAAAAGAGATTCCCACTAAAGCTGCTCCAGGAAGACCCTCGTTTAACATGCAAGGGTCAGTGATTGTCACTATAAACCTCTTTCTCCACCTGTAGGGCTTGGTGTGCTGGCGCTGCAACAACTCCTCAAGGCCCTATGGACCTATCAGAGCCAGCATCCTAGAAACTGAACCTACCAACCTCAGACAGCAGCAGGGCACAGCACTGTGTGTGTCAGGTATGGAGTGGCACCTTCCAACACGTTAGGGGGTAATCCTGCCATTCTTACTCACATGACTGATCCTTAACCACTCATTTGAAACAACAAATTCTCCCAGCTGTGCACAGTCACTCACACACTGTAGTGTGCAGGACTGTGATGGCTAGAAAATGATATTTATTGGTTTATTTCGGGAATCCGCTTGTAGATAAAAGTAGATATTGCATTAGAACAATGGTCCAGGGGAATGGCAAGGGTTAATTGGTTTCAAAAGCCTGTCTGTGACAAAGTTTCTTGTTTGTGGCAAAGGCCCACTGTGACAAAGGCCTGTTTGTGACAAAGGCCCACTGTGTCTAACGCCAGCAGACACAGGCTGGGAAAGTGAAGAAATGTACCATACTGTTCCATAACATGAAGAGTGTACCCAAACAGAGATAAGTGACTCTACAACATTAGCATCAGGTCACAGTGCCCAACTGCAGAGCCCTTGGGATTTCTGGTTTTGCTGGATGAACCAAATTAGGGGACTGGTAAAAGACCAAATCAAGTTGTATGCATGTGATGGGTTTGGGAAACAAAGGAACATGCTGACAAAACAGAATGTGGACAATATGACAACCATAGGGAAACCAATCAACGATGTCTAGAGATGAAGCATCGTCGGAGGGGAGAAAGAATATAAATGGAGGGATATCAGAGTAGAAAAGGGTCCCTGAGAGGGGAACCCAAGGCCACACCACCACATCTCTGGGCGGGTAGGCCTTGGCCCTCAACCTCCAGGCTGCTGACATCTGACATTTAAGAAAGAACCTCAGAGTGAAGCTTGTGTACTGGCCAGATGTACCTTCCCGCTGTGACAGCTCCAGGACTGGTAGATATAGAACTGTTTGCATTATTCTTATCTGCTATCGCTGTGTATCAATAACATTTCCCTATTGTCAAATGGAGAAGTTGTGGTCGGTCTGAGGGTTTGGGTCCACCCAGAACAAGGTATCTGGGTCATAAATCTAGTGCCAACAGACAGCACCAGTGAGAGGGTCAAGAACACTCACAGTTTTAGCCCCAGGAAAAGGTGAACAGTGGAGCTATTCCACAACTCCCTCTCCTCTGAAACATTATGGTAAACCTGAAGGGAACATGCTGGACAAAGCAGCAGTCTCAGCCTTACAGCATGGAGGGCACCAAACTAGGCTTCATGCTCTGCAACTGTCCAACTGTAGTGCAGAACAAAGAATCCTGTTGACAGCAACAGCTGATTGCAATGGAGTGCTCATTTTTGGTCTTTTCTGAATGGAAGGTGCCACCTGAACTCTCTGCGAAACCTCCCCACCCCAGCACAGGGCAACCAGGTTCCATCCACAACTCTCTTCTCTTCTGATGTACCAGCAGCCCCAGTCTCATTCTCCTACTGTGAAACAGCAGGCAACCTCAGCTAAAATCAAGGATATTGACTGCAGCAAGTCTGCCTTGTCTCGTGCTGCTTTCTTCCCCCCTCTTCTGCCTTCCCTTCCACACTACTCACCCTGGTTTCCTAACTCCCTCTCCTAGTCCCCCTGCACATTTCTCCAGTAATAGTCATGTGCCTAGATACAGATCTTGGTAGCTTCCAATATGCACATGATGTACCCACACCACCTCACACATTTTTGTAATCTCCCAGTGGGGAGCTCCCAGCTGTTGCATTGTCAGCTATGTGCTTGCTACACAAATTATGAGCCTGTAAATGATGCAGCACACATTTGAGCATGCAACAGTCACCATGTAAGATGTCACTACATAGGAGTTTGATGACATGAGGCTGCCTGCACTAGACCTTGTTGTTAGATCCTCCTAAGTAAATGGCCTCTGCTGAATCCTAGGATACTCAAGCATAGCAGGGCAAGTACAGCAGAGTGGTAACTCACCTGTGACATGGGAAGTGCTTTCCTTCTGCCACCAAGGTGACATCACAGAGCTGACGGGCCTGGTACAGATGCTTTAATCCTGAACAAAAGAAAAAGTCAGAGGTCAGATTTATTCTGTGGGGAAAAGTAACAGCTGCCTCCCACCACACTGAGGGGTCTGAAATTGCTAAGGTATCTCAGGACAGGGAAGTAGATGGAGGGGCAAACCCCAGAATTTCAGTTTCAGGTCCAGCAGATGCATGAGTACACTCCAGACACTATTCTCTATTTCCTACTCTTGAGTACCCTCTTACAGGCCACTGGAGGTCAAAGGGGATGTGTTGCTCAGTCTAAGAAAGGCTGGCCTATACTTCACCTGCTCTTATGCTTCACAGAGCGCCAGTTTCTAGGGAGCTCAGTCTGGCATCTTGCAACAGGACCACAGTAACAGTAAAGGGAAAGGGAAAGGGAAAGAATTGAGGTGTTAGTTTTCCTCTCATAAGTCTTCACATGTCACCTGCAGACTCCATCATTAGCCTTCCTTTTTTAAATGCCCAGGGTATTCCCATAATGTTACAAAGAAAACAAGAGTCCAAATCCCCATCATGCTGAAGAGTCCAAACCTACCCTGATACATGCAGCTTTGCAAAGATTGAGGTTCATCTTCCGTGTTACCTTCCATCAGGAAATCCACAGCTAGCCCAGGCCACCCTCAGCCTTAGCCAGTCCTGCCTGGAGATACCTGAATGTCACCTGAGAAAGGCAACTCTTGAAAGACTTTTCCTCTGGAGAAAAGCAATAAGGAATGAGCTGTGCCATTAAGACTGTAGCATCCAGCCTCCTCTACTTCCCTCATTTACCATAGTTTCCTCCCCGGTCCCAGATCCTAGTATTGGCTTTTTTTCCCCATGGGTGCTCAAACCCTGGCCCACAGGCCACATGTAGCCTTCAGAGCCATCACGTATGGCCCGCAGGCTCACCATGGGGCTGGATATTTGGCAGTGGTGAAGCAGTGGCTATTAATGCAAGCACCCTTCCCCCCACCGAATTCCCAAACCTCAGGCCCTGCACTGCCAGTCACAGCTGGGACATGCCTTTGCTCCTGCATTTGGATCAGCGCTGGGCCACACCCTTTCCCTCCCTGTGCGGCTGGATTGGGGACAAGCCATGCCCCCTTTTCCCCATGGGGCTGGGTTGCGGCTAGTCTGCCCTGCACCTCCCACCCTGTGGCTGGATGGTGCTTGCCATGCTGGCCCCAGTTCCAGATAGGGACCACTGGCAGGATCTGGCCTGTGGATGGACAAGGCATTACCCATCTGGCCCACCAGGGAGAAAAGATGAACATCACTGTTCTAATCTGTCCACCTGCCTCAGGTCCTTTGTGGCTGCAAGGAAAAGGTTCATAGATTCATTAGGGATGGAAGGGACCTCAGAAGATGATCGAGTCTAGCTTCCTGCCCGAGGGGCAGGAAGTCAGCTGGGGTCATAGGATCCCAGCAAGATAAGCATCCAAATTTCTCTTGAAGGCATTCAATGTAGGCGCTTGAACCCCCTCCGGTGGCAAGCTATTCCAGATCTTGGGGGAGCAGTCAGTGAAGAAATTCTTCCTTATGTCCAGTCTGAAACGGTCTTGCACGAGTTTATAACCATTCAACCTTGTCATCCCTTGGGGCGCTCTGGTGAACAATCGTTTCCCCAGATCCTGGTGAACACCCCTGATAAACTTATAGCTAGCCATCAGATCGCCCTTAAGCCTGCGCTTTTCCAGGCTAAAGAGTCCCATAGCTCTCAGCCTCTCGTCATGAGGTCTGTTTTCCTGACCTCTGACCATGCGCATGGCTCTTCTCTGGACTCTCTTGAGCTTCTCCACATCCTTTTTGAATTGTGGAGCCCAAAACTGGCCCTCAGCTGCAGCCTCACCAAGGCCGAGTACAATGGGAGAATGATGTCCCGGGATTTGCTTGAAAAGCTTCTATGGATGCAAGCCAGCGTTTTACTTGCTCTATTAGCCACAGCATCACATTGAAGGCTCATGTTCATCTTGTGGTCAATCATGACCCCCAAGTCCCTTTCATCTGTAGTGCTAGCCAGCGTAGCACTG